TATTTTAAAGATTGTATTTATTTATTTTTAGAGAGGGGAAGGAAAGGAAAAAGGGAGGGAGAGAAACATTGATGTGTGGTTGGTTCTCACGTGCCCTGTACTGGGGACCTGGCCCCCAACCCAGGCGTGTGCCCTCACCAGGAATGGAACTGGCGACCCTTTGGTTCACAGGCCGGCGTTCAGTCCACTGAGCCACACCAGCCAGGGCTGAATGACAAATAATGTTTTAGTATAAGTATATCCTACGTGATATTTGAGACATACTTATACTAAAACATTATTGGTTGTTCATGTGAAAATCAAATGTAACTGGTGTCTTGGGTTTTATTTGGTAACCCTGCCTGGGTACAGTAAAAACTGCTAGGTAAGGGAAGGGCTAACTTTGTTTTTGTGTCCATTTCCGGGGTCCTGGAGGAGGACCAGTGGGGAGTGGGCTTGGCCCCGAGAGCAAGGAGAAGGGTCGCAATGGCGGGGGCTTGGTGAAGACCACAAAGGAGCGCTCCCTGGGTAGCTTGGAGCCGGAAACCTCTGAGAGCCTTTCCACTCTTGTCAGTGTTGGAGCCTCCGGATCTGCAGGGCTTTGCGAGGATGAGGTGGGGAGATGATGGACAGGGATGAGACTGAAGACTGGGAAGCCCCCCCAACAGCCTTGACCATTTCCCTGCTTGATGTGAGGATGGCGGGCTGCACACACATGCATCAGCCGCTCACGGAGCCGCCTCTGTGCGGATGGGAAGTCAGATATTGTAGAGTGTTCCACATGCTCTGGCTGTCATTGATTCTGCTCTTTTGACACCCTTGTCTCCAAGGTAACACTCTTTGGAGGGAAACCCATCTCATCAGGGCAGAGCCAGCTGAACTCTGGGCTTTCTTTCCTCAGTGCCCTGCCCTCCTCTCCTCACCCCTGCTCTTAATGATAGTGTCAGCAGAGGCTTACATGTGGGTACCGGTTCCAAGTTTATAAACTGATTGGCCATCTTACACTTGGTTGGATTTTCCCAAGTCTGAGAACGCGATACTTATTCTTCTATGTGCTCAGGAAACCAAGTCCCAGAAATTTGTCCTGTGATAGTCACCAGGTCAGGCCTCCAACCCACCCAGGTATTTTGAAAATAACTGTCAGTGGGCGCCTCCTGTGTGGGCCCTGTGTTATGGACTGGGCCATTGAGGACACTGAAACCCAGACTCACTCAGCTTCTGCTCCTGTGAGCTCCCAGAGCAGGGTGGGGGTGGCAGGCCGGGGGTGGGGGGAGATGTCAGAGTTGGTAAACAGATGAAAAAGCAGGAATAACAATCCACATCCTCAGCCAGGGGCCGCTGGGAATGAGAACCGCCTCAGGGTGCGGGTGGCCTGGTGGAGGGCCTGTCCACACGCGCCCCCCTCAGTCTGGCTCTGTCTCTTCAGCAGCATCTCTCCCTCTCTATTCAGCCTGGCCACAGGCCCCATGGCTTGCCTTGGCGCTGGCCCCTGGAAATGTCCCTGGGCCCCATGCCCTTGGCCCAGAGCCCACCGCGGCGGCTTGTCCTTGGCGGGGAAGTGCAGAACCTTCCGTCCCCCACCGCAGCCCCTGTCTCAAAGACAATCTGTCGTGGAATTCCAATTGGAAGCAGATTAGAAGAGAGCTGGTGCTCTGCTTTAAGTGGGAGCTGGCAAGTGCAGAGGCCCCTGCTCCGGCCCCACTGTAGCACGTGGAGCACGTCTCTGCAAGGTCAGTCAGCACAACACACTTCAGCAAGCGGCGGCCAGGAGTACCAGCCACCCCGGGGCCTGCTCCTCTTGCGCAGGCCCCTCTCGCAAAGGGTGCTCCTCCTCCCATGGTCCCCATCCTCATGACCCACCCAGGGACCGGGTCAAAATGTGGGCTCTGACTCCGTTCCCCGCTCACCTCCACACCAGATAGCCAGGCTGGACTGTTTCCTGTGCCCCTTCTCTGTCCCTTGCCATTCACCTGTGTTCAGTGTTTTCTGAACAGTGTTTTCTTTTCCTTTTTTAAAAGATCTTACTTCTTTATTGTCAGAAAGAGAGGAAGGGAGGGAAAAAGAGAGAGACATCAATTGGCTGCCCTCGCACACCCCCAAGCAGGGACCTGGCCCTCAACCCAGGCCTGTGCTGTGACTGGGAATTGAACCAATGACCTTCTGGTTCTCAGGCTGGCACTCAGTGCATTGAGTCACACCAGCCAGGACTGGAGCAGTGTTTTCCAACAGTGGATCGTCTCAGGAAGTTTCCCCAACAGAAGCCTGGTTGAGGAGTGGGCTACCTTGTCCCGCCTCAGCTAGGTCCGTCCAGTGGAGAGAGGCAGCTGGGCCTGTGGGCTTTTCTGTGCTGGGGCAAGTCCCTACGCCCATCCACTTACTTTGTGTGGAAGTGGAGCTGGTTGTCAATAGGTATTAGAGAGGAGACCAGGGTAAGCCTGTGTGTCCATCATGGCGGCAGCTGGGCCCCTGGACCCTGAGAGTCACCCAGTGCCTGAAAAGTCATCCTCATGTGACATTTGGCAGAAGCCACCATCCCTGTTCAGAAGCTGATCTCACTTTCTTTGGTGCCTACTGGGTCGAGCCCACACCTGTTGTTCTGGTGTCCAGGCTCTTTCGGAGATTAGCTCGGCAGCCATTTTGAGCCTCACCTCCCGCCAGCTCCTTCACAGAACCTCCATTTCGTCCTAGCAAGTGAGCCGTGCCCAACACTCCACATACTTCCTGCAGGGCAGGATGCGACCAGGCTGAATGCAAGGAAGGTACCCAGGCCAGGGCAGGACCTGTGGTGGGTGTGTTAGATAGCACAAGGGCCTCAAGGTCTGGGCAGTTCGAAATGTTATTTCTTGCTACCTAGCAGTGTTTTGCAGATGGAGCTATGAACGGGCTGAACAGAAAGGAACTCAACTGGATGATAAGTAGTAGCCAAGTGCAAAGAAGAAATCAACATGTAAATAACCAAATAGTGTTTGTGAGCAGTGGGTAAGCCTCTCTGCAGGGAGGCAGAGCTTTGGGTGTGAATCCCCTTCTCCTTTACTTGTTGCAAATAAATAAAATTACTTCTTGACAACCACATCTTCTTTGGAATAGAGCACCCCAAGCAGGGAACCCCTTGAGTTGTTTGCTAACAGGGCTCCCCTGTAGAGGTCACGAGGGTGGGGCCTCTGCTTCAGAGGAGGCTTCTGGAATCTGCCCACCTGCCTCCATCCTCACCAACAACAATCTGACCTGAGCTGCCATCATCTCTCATGTATTTTACTGTGATAATCCCTCAGAAGTCTCCTCCTTCCCTGCTTCTCCTTTTTATAAGGATTATATTTATTTGTTTTTATTTTTAGGGAGAGTGGACGGGAGAAACAGGAGAGGTACATAGATCAGTTGCCTCTCACACACCCCTACCAGGGACCTGGCCTGCAACCCAGGCATGTATCCCAACTGGGAATGGAACCAGTGACATTTCACTCTGCTAGATGACACTCAATCCAGTGAACCACGCCAGACAGGGCTATTAGCACAGACAACTGGACACATCCTTTCCTTTGTACATATATATGCACACAAAGGCCACATGTGCACATATATGTGCATAGAGAAACCACATTTTTAAAAGTAATTTTACTCTGACCCTGAGGGACCTATTTTTTTTTCAAAACCGTATTACAAAAAATTTCAAGCCTACAGAACAGTTGAAAGAATTGTGCAGTGAATGCCCACCACCTTGATTGTACAGATATTTTGTTACGTGGACTCATGGCACATCTGCTCATCAGCAAGCCACTCGATCCGTCCATCAATAATATGCATTTCAGAGAGAACTTAAGCCATTACTATTCTTTACCCCCTAACACTTCAGCATTGAGTTCAAGTTTTGTTTACTTTTTACATAGAATGTACATGCTGAGAAATGCGCAAACCTTCAGTGTACATTTGCTTGAGTTTTGACAAATGAATATTTCACCCGTGTAGCTCAAAGCTCTGTCAGGACAGAGAACGTCGTTGTCACCCTCAAAATTCCCAGTGTGTCCCTTCCTTGTCAGTCCCCTAGCAGAGGCCACTAGTGCACTGACATTTTTTAAAATTGTAGATTAGTTTGACCTGTTATAGAATTGTATGTACACAGAATAATTTGATAAGTACTCACATTTGTTTATTCATTCAATAAAAACTTATTTGGCACCTACTACATGCTTACAGACTTTATGTGATGTCTGTGCATGGCAAGCAGTGAGCTCTGGACTGACCAAAAAGCCAGAAGCATTTCTAGACCTGGGCTGTAACCTCTCTCCCTTCTTCTCTGATCACATTGTCCCTGAGAGACCGTGGGTAGCTGTGCTACCGAACTCAAGGGGTTCAGGGGGTGCTCTCTATTGAAAAGGTAGTTTTGTTTTCTTGCAGCCAGCAAAGGAGAGGGATGTGTATCTAAGGATCTGCCTCTGCTTCAGGGAAGCTTAGGGGAGGCTTAGTGTTCTTTGCCATTGGCTACTTTCATGGGTTGAGTTCCTGTCAGCTCATCTTGTTTACAGCTTCAGCTGCAAAATACTCTGCTACATTTTAACATTTGGCAAGAAAAAAACATTCAGAACTGCTCACATCTTGGGGTCCTAACTAACAGGCCTCAGAAAGAAGTGCGTGTCCTGCCCTCCTCCCTGTGCCCCGCCCCCCCCCCCCCCCCCCCCCCCCGCAGTCCACACTGGCTCTGGAAGGTCCCTCAGCAGCCCCAACCCCCTTACTTCCCCACCACAGCTGAACCCACGCTCCTCTGCTGCGGAGGTGTGCATGGCACTGTTATCACCTCATCCTGGGTCTTGCACAAGAAGGTGAAAGTGCAGTTGGCGAGACAGCTGAAAGGGGCTTGACAAATAGAAACAGCAGAGTTGCAAGATCCTGTGGAAGGGTGGGGATGTGGGGATAAGGGCATGGAGACTGGGGGCGGGGTGCTGGCTAGAAAACTGCACAGGACCCTAAGCATTCAACATTGGGCTGCCAAACGGTACGGACCTGGAGCCACTGGGACCCTAGGCACAATGTTCTTGCCCTCTAAGAAGGACTTCAAGACTGCCATGGAGGTCTTTGCTGTTGTCCATTGGTTCTTCTTTGTCTTCATTGTTTGTAAGTCTTAAGCCCTCGGTGGGGTCACCAACTATTCGGGTTTGCCTGGGACCGAGAGGCTTTAGGGTTTAGCAGGACTTCTGATGCTAAAACCTCGATGGTCCCCAGCGACATCAGGATGGTCGGTCCCCCTGGCCTGTAGCCTGACATAGCTGGGCATGGTACTCATGGGTGTACATGGGGCGGGGGGTGTACATATGGGTGTGAGCCCATGCAGCGGTGTGTGCGCGCGCACGTGTGTGAGAGAGTCTTGCTGTAGATGTGTATGTTGAAATTTTCTGGGTCTCCACTGGGGCGTGGAGGGCATGTTTGGGGACAGTGGGCAGCAGTTCACCGAGGCCAGCCGAGATGGCTTAGCTGCACCCTGCAGAGCTGGAGCAGACCATCGGCGGCAGACAGTTCTCCTAGCGACAGGGAGGCTGTGAAAACCTCTGGCGTGCAAGCCTTCATCCATCTATCCGTCCACTACCCCCACCACGAACCCCTTATACAAGTTAGCGATGTGCTGGCCGCTGCGTTCTAGGTGCTGAAGCAAACCAGCCCTGTGGGAGGGGGGCCTGCACAACATTCTCATTGGTCAGATGCTTTAAGCGAGTACCAGCTGTGGGCAGGAGCATGAGCTCAATGATGTGGTAAGATATCTGGGCAGGAAGCATGCACGCAGGCTCTGCGAGCCCTGGCTTGCACTAGGGAGCACTAGGGAGAAGGGGCGAGAGGACAGGCACTGGGGACTCGGGGGCCCGCCTGGGGTGGGCACCAGGAACGTCTCTGCCCCCCTGATGCTGAAAAGAGTAGTGTTAATCTAGGAATCACAGGCGAGTAGAACTGGAAGAGACTTGGGAGCGAGAACTTCATGTGTTAGGTACCTACTCTGTTCCAGGTATGTTTACATGTATTATTTCACTGTAGCCTCATGCCAGCTCTATGGGGTAGAAGCTATTGTTCTGTATAATAATACCTCCGAGCAGTTCTGCACTCAAAATGATAGCTACCACACACAATATTAGCTAACATTTATTGCACCTCTTGTTTATGCAGCCACTGTTCTGAGCACCTGATGTTTCTAATAATCTTTTTTAAAATATTTTATTTATTTCTTTTTAGAGAGAAGGGAAGGGAGGGAGAAAGAGGCAGAGAAACATCCATATGTGGTTGCTTCGCACGCGGCCCCCAGTGGGGACCTGGCCTGCAACCCAGGTGTGTGTCCTGACTGGGAATTGAACCCATGATCCCTTGCTTTGCAGTCCGGTGCTCAGTCCACTGAGCCACACTAGCCAGGGCTGTTTTTAATAATCTTCACCGCGCAGCTGAGGCAGTGGAGGTTCATGTAGCGTCCAAGGTCTGGTCAGGACCGCATAGCTAGGGAGTGGAGGAGCTGGCTTGGGACTTGAGCCCAGACAAGGGCCTGGTTCTTGCCTCTGGGATTCTCTCCTTACCTCTTGCATCTCCTCACTGACTGCCCATTAGGAGGTTGGGTGCGGGCATGTCTCTGCAGTAGATGAGCTAGGTCAGAGACGAAGGTGGGGGAGGCCAGGGCTTCTGCATCCATAAACGCTCCTGCTCAGAATGGCCTCTTACTGAGAATGAGGACCCCAGCTGGGCTGCTGCACTCTCTCCCTCCACGTGGCCCAGGCCTTTGGGGGCACTGTCAGCAAGGGCGCAGCCCCCTGTCTGGGCAGAGTGGTGGCTGTTCTCACTCTCATCCCTCTAGTTACTGGTGCTCAAAAAAATCCGAGGGGAGTCTGCCAGAACTGTCTCTTAGGTGGACTGCACCATCAGCTTTTTCAAGTGGACCATGGTTTTGGGGGTCGGTGCTACTGTTCTTTGGGAGGAGCAGCCGCCCCGTCTGGGCTGCGGCTGCTTCCGCTTGGTCTGCAAGGCCGCATTCTTCTTTGGCCTTGGTTCCAGGCTCCTCAGGAACAACGGTCCATGTCCTTGTGGCACTTGCATCCACTTCCTGCCTGACGGTCCTGCTCTGACCTGGAAGCTTTAGGGTTAGAGTTCGGTTCATCTTTCTTGAGTTCTCATCGTGTTCCCACAGACGGGGCTCGTTACCACCTTGTCCCCTCCCCCGTCGCTGCCACTGTGTTCTCATAGGAGAGCCGAGTACCCAAGGCCCAGGAGCTGACACTGGACTGGGGGAAGCATGACTGGTTACGGAAGGCCACCTGGGCCCGGCCCCGTGGCAGGGAGGGAGTTGGAGCCTCTAGGCCTGTGTGTGTCCCTCCGCAGTCCAGTCCCTAATCTCGCTCTTCAGAGGTAACCATTGTTAACCGTGTTTTTCTCTGTGTTTGTGTGTATAGCCAGAAATTATGGATACACACCCCCCCATGGCCAAAGGGAAGTAAAATATGGGTGTTAAAAACACAATCTCTGGCCTTCACTGGTGTAAGTTCAGTGGCTTGGGCATTGCCCTGCGAAGCAAAAGGTTGCTGGCTCGATTCCTGGTCAGGGCGCGCATGTGGGTTGTGGGCCAGGTCCCCATTAGGGGTGCCTATCAGAGGCAACTGATCAATATTTCTCTTCCTATCCTCCTCCCTCCCTTCCCCTCTCTCTAAAAATAAAGAAATAAAACCTTTTTAAAAACCTCTGGAACTAGACTGCCTGCATTCAAATCCCAGCTGTACCACTTACTATCTGTGGGACATTAGCAAGTTACGTATCCTTTCTGAGTCCCATTTTCTTCATTTGTAAAATGGGCATATTCAAGTGTAATAATTAAGATAGTGTAGGGTACTAGGCAGGCTGTGATCACAGGTCACAGGTATACCCTGAAATCTCTGTGGCTTAACCCAGCACATGTTTCCTTCTTGTTCAGTTTAAACATCCGGCACAGGTTGGTGTGAATCTCTGCTCCTTGATGTTCAGGTTGATGGAGTTCCCAATAAATGTGATGCTGTAAATGTGGCTTTGGAGATTTACACAGCAAGGGGAGGTAAAAGAATGGAAAACTCAGATGCCCCTCCAAGCAAAAGCGATAGGTAAACGAGTTGTAGCCTTACTTTGTACTTCCTTGATTATTAGTCAGGTTTAGCATCTTTTCATATATTTTTTAGCAATTAGTATTGCCTTTTCTTTTAGCTGCCCATTCATGGCCTTTGCCTGTTTCTCTACTGAACTTGGGTTTCCTCTTTTTTTTAATTAAAATATTTTATTAATTGATTTAGAGAGGGAGGAAGGTAGCAAGAAAGAGAGAGAGAAACATTGATCAGTTGCCTCTCATGTGCCCTGACCTAGGACTAAACCAGGAACACAGGCATGTGTCCTGTGGAACCAGTGACATTTTGCTTTGCAGATGACGCCCAACCAAGTGAGCTACACCAGGGCTTGAGTTAATTTCTTTTATAGCTTTTGAAAAAATGATTGTATTTATTTTTAGAGAGGGGAAGGGAGGGAGAAACAGAGGGAGAGGAACATCAATTTTTGAGAGAAACATCGACTGGCCACCTCTCGCATGCTGCCAATCTCCAACTGGGACCTGACCCGTAACCAAGGCATGTGCCCTGACCGGGAATCAAAACTGGCAACCCATTGGTTTGCACGCTGGCACTCAGTCCAGTGAGCCATACCAGTGAAGGCTTTCTACTCACTTTCCCCACTTGTTTTAATTATTAAAGATTTTATTTATTTAGAGAGAGGGGAAAGGAGGGAGAAAGAAAGGGAGAGAAACATGATATGCAAGAGAAACAGTGATTGGCTGCCTCTTGCACGCCCCCAGCTGGGGACCTGGCCCACAACCCAGGCATGTGCTCTGACTGGGACCCGAACCAGCAACCTTTCAGTCTGTAGGCCAGCGCTCAACCCATTGAGCCACACTAGCCAGGGCTTGAGTTTACTCTTGAGGGACAAATAAGAAATAAGTGAAGAAGGAAGAGTGTTCAAGGCAGAGACTGGGCAACACTTGACAGGCTAGGGTGAGGGGAGACCATGAAGCATTTGGGGAGCTGCCAGTGGTTAAGTGGAATGAGAGGATGAGAGGCAAAGAATTGATGGTCCATGCATATTGAAGGAATGAGTGAATGAATGAATGAAGCGGAGAGACAAAGAGGAGACTGGAGAAGCAGGCAGGATACAGATCATACAGGCATTGTAACTCATGGGAAAGTAGAGCCGTGATGAGGTATGGCACAGGGCAGTAGCGTCAGATTCATGTTTTTGAGAAATGACTCTCTGTGTAGCCAAGTGCTGGCATGAGAAAGCTGTTGCAATAACCCAGGTGAGAGGTGGTGGTGATTTGGGCCAGACCAGTAGTAACCAGGACGGAGAGAAGAGGAGAGATTCAGTGAACTGGAGTAGTGTTAGTAAGACTTGATGCAACACAAGATATGGAAAAAAAGCAGGAGGCAAGACTGAGGTCCACGTCCCAGTGTGAGCTGGCAGAGGGGCCAGGGGAGCAGAGAAGGGTAAAGAAGGACAGTAGCCGAAAGGGGGATGAGTATGCGGAGGAACTGTCCCAGAGGACTTTTTATTTGAGTTTTCACTTCACATGTACAGAGGGCAGTGCAGAGTGGGCGAGAGCGCTGTCGGCCTGGGTCCCACGTGTGTGGGTCTCCAGCGCTCGCCCCTCCCTCACTAGCTCACACGGGGCAGGTGGGGCCTGCCCATAGTGCCTTGGAGCCTTGCCAGCCCTTCCCCCAGGGGTCTCTGGAATTGTCTCCATTTGGACCGTAGAGGCCTTAAGTGAAGACTCTGACCGTAAGTCTGGGAGAAAGATAAGGGGGATACTGGTCTTGTAATTCCCAGTTGGCACATGAGGAAACCAAAATTCTGTGACTTGCCTGTGATCGTACTCATGGTAGGTGGCAGATCTCTAATTTCATCTCATCGCACGGTACTGTGTCTGAGGTCATACTCCCTCACGAGATGTCCCCAACACGGTATGGGGGCAAACAAAACCTAAGGGAAATAGGGTGGTGTCCTCTCGACTAGACCCATGCATCCCTTTATTTTTTGAAAAAGTCAAATAGTTTTTAAAAAAGATCTTATTTATTTATTTTTAGAGAGAGGGGACGGGAGGCAGGAAGGAGAGAAACATCTATGTGTGGTTGCCTCTCATACATCCCATACTGGGGACCTGGCCTGCAACCCAGGCATGTGCCCTGACTGGGCATCGAACCGGTGACCTTTTGGTCTGGGGGGCGATGCCCAACTCACTGAGCCACACCAGTCGGGACAAAAGGTAAATAGTTTTAAAATGAATATATAAGAAGCCTAAACTGTGGGCTTTCCTCTTTCCTTAGATCTGTTTCCCAGAGGCAGCCATTTTCAACTTTGTTAGCTCTTTTTCTCAGGAATTTACATGTATACATTTTACTCTTTAAAACTTAAACACGGACTACTTTCTGATTGAACAATTGTAGATGCTTTGACTTCCCAGTATGAAGACGAGAATTTAGCCACATCCACGGTCAGTAAATTCTCCCCAGGATGTTATAGCACAGGTTTTAGTTAAATGCCCGGCTAGGACATATTATCCACAATTGAGCTGTTTAGTGCACTAAGATTACTTCTCTTTCTTGTGCAACTTCTTCCCCTCCTCTCCCCGGAATTCACAATTGCCTCATTTAAAATTTCTGTAGCTATCTGTCAGAGCTGTTTTAGTAACGACTACTCCATATTTTACATGGACGTGTCCCTCTCTCAGTTTGTACAAACTCATCAGGAATCTCTAAGCCCCGCCCTCCTCCTGCCCCTCTTCATTGCCTTGGGGACGTGGCTGTGGGGGTCCAGCCTCCTCCTGTCACAGTCTGGAGGCACCATGGACGCACAGTTCAGGCAGGTGACTCAGGCTCTGCGACTATCGCCAATACTTGCTTGACCTTGAGAATGAATGTCTCCCTTCAGTGTTGCACCCTTGGGTGCCTTGCTTGCCTCGCAGTAGTCCCAGCCGTGTTCATTTGATTAAGAATTGGGCTGCATATGCAATATCTTAAGTGTGTCTGGTGCAAGTCTCTGAGCCTACAGTTTCTCTTGTTCGGTTTTGCAGACAGTAGTCTTTCCATTGTCCAGTTGTGTGGCAGAGGGATCCTGGGGTTCTAACTGCTTCTGTGATAGGCTTTCAATTAAGCCCTGTGCCTCATGCCTGCTTTTTGGGGCACCCGGTGGCTCCCGATTCTGAGTCTTTCCCAGGTTTTCCAGTGCACGCAGCTTTGCTTGCTCTTGTGGGCATTGCCTTTGCAAAGGTTTCAGGCTGCTTTGTACTAAGTTGGTCACTCCCTCCTCCGTCCACTTTTCAGGGTGCAAACGTTTTGCTGATACCTTAAGCCACCACTGGCAGGCATCTGTCCAGTTCTCTTTCTCTTGTGGACCTATATGTTTTAAACATTTCTGTAGTAATTTTCATGAGGCTCCAGCGAGGAGTCAAGATAAAGACTTGTGTTCAATCTGTCATGTTGCATTAGAAGTCTCTTCTGTTTTGTCTCACCTTTATTTTGACTCCTTTGTTTTTCCTCAGTCTTAGTGGCAGCTGTTTCAAAACCTAGCCCTGGAGTATTTCTGAGTGAGGCTCCCTAGGAGTCTGCATGAAGTCTGTCCTAACTGCTCTAACGTATAGCATTCTAATCTTTTGGGAGCTTAACACACCCCCAAACCTGATTCTACCCCAGCTTGCATCCATCTTTCTTTGTTGTTTGCCATCGTGTGCGCTCCCAACCGGGCTGAAGGTGGGTCTTCTCTTTCTCCGGTATCCCCCCAAACTGATGCTTCACAGGCTGGTGGGCAGGAAAGTGGTACTTGGAGGAAAACTGTTCCCAGCTCTGTCTTTCCAGGCACCCCAGCCTCTGGTGGCCAGGTCAGCATGTGCCACCACTGGCTCCTGGCCATTGAATGCACTGCAGAGCGGGGCTTGGGAAGGGTGGGGTGGTGGTGGAAGGCTTTTGGCATGCAGCACAGCCGGAGAAGGAAACACCGTGCTTTCTAGACCCAAAACAGGTTTCCGAGGCCAGAGGTGGGGGCTGGGGACGTGGGTGCACAGGCCATGCCAGGGTGCGGGAGTGAAAGTGCTGTGCTAGTCTGGTCAAAGGTGTGTGCGATCAGGGTGCGCAGAGCCCCGCAGGGAGGGCAGGTATGAGGGACTGTTCACAACCTGCCTGTTAACTCTGGGCTGGGCATCCTCAGCGTTTGCCGTAATCTTTGTCAACATCTACCTGATGGTGTTCACGCGGTACTGGCCTGTTCCTGTGCTGTTGCTCATGTGGCTGGCTTTTGACTGGAAGACCCCTGAGCGAGGTAAGGGCCCTGCTGGGGCTATGCCGGCACTGGACACGGGTTCTTTCCTCTTCCTATGGTCCCGAGGGGCTTTAGCCAGTTTCCAAGCAGCCTCAGCCTGTCCCTGCCTAGGCTATAGAAGCCAAGGGCAGGGTTCCTTTCAAGGGGCTGCAAAGCCCAGGTCAGAACTGGAGTGGGTTAGGGGCAGGGCAGCTAGCGCAGAAAATTGCAATAAAGAATTTCATTTGTCTCCTAAAAGGGAGGGAGCCCCTCACTATAAGGAAGCCCTTCTCCCCCTGATCCCAAGTAGAAAGCTAGGGTGCCCTGAGATGGCTGTGACTTTCCATAATCTGTTCCAGTTGTCACTTAAGAGGCCAGGAGGCAGCAGGTGGTGAGAGTACCTTGGTCTCTGAAGGAGATGGCGGGGGTGGGCACAGCTTGGCTGTATGGGCGCTGCTTTTAGGTGGCCGCCGGTTTCTCTGGATGAGGCGCTGTCACCTGTGGAAAGAATTCGCTGATTATTTCCCACTCAGGGTGAGCAGCCCCACAACCCCCCTTGGACTCCAGGCCCGGCCCAAATTCCGGTACCAGTGGGTGGACCGGGGTAGGGGTCGGGAGACGGCGTTCTCACAGAGGCCCGTGGGAATGGTGACCCCTGGCGTGCTGTGTTACCCCAGCCTGCAGCCCTTCCCCTTCCAGGTCTCTGGCCAGGAGCTCTCTTCTCTTCCCTGGCCATTCCCCTCCTGACAGCTCTTTCCTCCACAGCTTTTGAAGACTCATGACCTCTCCCCCAACCACAACTACATCCTCGCCTACCACCCTCATGGGCTCCTGTGCCATTCAGTCTTCGGCAGCCTTGCCACAGAGGGCGTGGGCTTCTCCAAAATCTTTCCTGGCATCACCTGTTATGTGCTCACACTGGGAATCATGTTCTGGGTGCCTGTGATCAGAGACTATATAATGTCTGTAGGTGAGTGGGCTCCTAGGACATAAACACAAAAGAAAACCAGCTCCTGCTCAGACCGGTGTGTTGGAGTGCACTGAGCACTGGCCTGTGAACCAAAAGGTCGCAGGTTTGATGCCCAGTCAGGGCACAGGCCTGGGTTGTGGGCCAGGTCCCCAGTGGGGGGCATGGGAGAGGCAAGTGCACACTGATGTTCCTCTCCTTTTCCTCCCTTCCTTGTCTTCTCTCTAATAAATAAATAAATACCCTTCAAAAAGGTTCCCTGAGGAAGGAGGGCTTGGGGAATGGGCGAGAGGAAGGCCAACTCTGACCCCCATCAGGTCTTCAGAAGCTGCCCCAGGCTCGCCTGCCTGAGATGAAGCTCTCTCTTCCTCTGAAGAGGCCAAGAGGGAAGCTAGGAGGTTTGGGAAACAGTCCATGACCTCCTGACTTTTTCTGTCTCTCAGGATCATGCTCTGTGAGTAGTGCCTCCATAGACTACCTGCTGACCCAAAAGGGCACGGGCAACATGCTCGTCACGGTAGTCGGTGGCCTGGCTGAGTGCAAGTACAGCTTTCCGGGATCCACTACCCTGTTCTTGAAGAACCGGACTGGGTTCATACGCAAGGCCCTCCAGCACGGGTAAGGGATGTTCTGGTCAAACCAGGGACAGCTGTCCCAAAAGCCCAGCAGGCTTTTGAAGGAATGTTGGGGAAATTACATCTAAATGGAGGGGAAGCTCCTTCTGCATCATAGAGCCCAAGCCAGGTCCTGGAGGCATTTCTGCTTAAAGGCTAGAGGGCCAGTCCTGAGCCTGGTGCCTCTCACGGCAGCCTGATGTCCTCTGAGCCCGTCCCTCTGTGAAACCTGACCGGCTGCAACCCCATCTCAGAGGGCGCCACAATTGCCGTGTGGGTCCAAAGGAAGAAAGCATTACTGAAGTGTTCCTTAAGTCTTATCTTTCTGGGTTTCAGACCTGTGGGGTTCACAGGAAGGTGGGGACTTGCTTCCTTGGCCCCCACAGGAATCCTGGGGTAGACCATGGGGCCCTCACACATGGTCCCGAACTAGGCCCAGCTGAGATAGGGGCCATGGAGTCTATAGGCAGAGCCAGGCACCACTTGGCGGTTTAGCACGTGGGGCTTGGAGCAGGGTCCCTACCATTCTGGCCATCCAAAGACATGCTTTCCCTCCACAGGGTGGCGGTAATCCCTTCCTACGCCTTTGGGGAGGTAGATCTGTACAATCAGCACATTTTCACTCCCGGAGGCTTGGTTAGCCGCTTCCAGGAGTGGTCCCGGAAAGTAACACACATTTACCCTACTGCTTCGTATGGGTGCGGCCTCACTAAGAACTCCTGGGGCTTCCTGCCACATTCTCGGCCGGTAACCACCGTTGGTGAGTGGGCCCTTCTGCTGGCAGCCTCGTCTAGGACCCGGATCCAGTTCTGAGGTTGAGCCTCGGCTTTGGCTGTGTCAGGGCATGGGGAGGCTGCCCAGGATGGCGGTGTCAGGGCGGTGAGGATGGCGGTAAGCTGGGCTGGAGGGTTGAGAAACATTCTGAGGAGTGAGCTGTTCTGATGCTTCTCTCGTCTTTCTGTGTCTTCCTTGGCAGTCGGGGAGCCTCTGCCAATGCCCAAGATTGAGAATCCGAGCCAGGAAGTGGTGCACAAGTACCACACGCTCTATTTGGAAGCTCTACGGAAACTGTTTGACCAGCACAAGACCCAGTATGGCTTCTCAGAGACTCAGAAGCTGGTGATAGCTTGACCGACATCCCCAGCTGCCTCTCAGCCTATGGGGCTCCTGCTCCTGATCTGGTCAGTCCTCCATGTGAGGGAGCGGCAGTCCATTCGGCTGTTTTCTGAATCCCAATTCCTCCTCCATTTCTCTCCTCCTTCCAGTTTCTTCTCTGCCTTTTCCTTGGGGCTACAGAGGACATGGCCTCAAGGGGCAGGGAAGGGCCTGGGGAGAGGTGTCAGACCTTCAGGTTCCCTCACACATGGCCACTCATTGGCACTGGGAAAAATAATGAGCAAAATAAAAAGCCCATCTTATGAGACCACTTTGTGCTCTAACTAGTATATTTGAGGGTCTGGGATCCCCTGACATCTTTCTTTCTCTAGCATCTCTGTCTTCTGGTGTTGAGACTCCAGCAGGGCTGGGTGCCTTGCGATCCAGTGGGCTTTGAGCGCAGACTTCACCCCCTTGAAGCCATGTGTCTTGGAGCAGTCAGTCACCTGTGAGCCTCAGTCTCCTCACCTGGAAAATGGGAGTAATGATCCCTCCTCTGCATACCTCCAAGGCTACTGGGAAGATCACATGATAGTGAATGTGACTGAACTTTGTGAATGGAGAGAGCTACACAAAATGACTCTTCTGCAACCATTTTGCCCATTTCCTGACCCTGAGCCAAAAAAACCCACAAACAAACCTAAATTTGGCACCTGAATGTTTAAAAGACAGTGTGCAGGGTAGCATCTTGTCAGAAGTCCTTTGAAAATTTAAGTAATCGATACCCTCTACTACCGCCGGTCCACACTCGGTTTCTGTCTCATAATGCTCTTAACAGGATGGCTCGAGCCCAAGTGTAGTCTCCTCTCCCCCAGCAACTTGCTTACCCTTGCCTGGCTCTCTGACTCCGCCCTTTGTGACAGTCAGCCATCTTGCTTAAGGTGGAAGTGAGGTCCCTGGCTTCTGGCCAGCGTGAAGCTCTCCTGGGTGGTGAGTCTTCCAGACTCTAGGCCCAATGATTGTTGGCAATGGCAGCTTACTGTTTGACCCATGGACCCCTGTTCCATTCCTGGTGGGTGAATGCCATTCGGTCTTCATGATTTACCAGCATCGACATGTCGGTTGGGTGTAGAAGACCGTCCTGTGTATTTCCCAGTGTGATTTGCTGCCCCCGCCCCGGGTGCCTACCTCAGGTGATCATCTGTACACAATGGGGCAAAGGAATGCTTCTGCTTCTCTGTCTCAATTCCCAGGGCCCAAGATGACATTTCCCCCGAACCCCCATAGGGTGTTTTTAATCTCCAGGCTTCCCATGTGTGGATTCCTTAAAAAAGACAAAGAAAGAAACAAACAAAAGTATTTCCTCCCTAAACTATCCAGACGACCCGCCTTTGCACACCTGGGCACTGATTTGTGGCAGGTTGCTGTGTGCACACTGCTGCTGAAGTGTCACGTTCTGTGCCTACACAGTAGGGTAAAGGCTTCTGGGGTTGTGAAAAGCTAGGTGTCCTTGAGCTGCTGCCTGGTCTGTCTTCTGTGGGCTTCTTGCTTGTTTTAGCCGCCCTAGAGCTTGTCGTGCACAGAGCTTAGGGCCAAGTGGTGGAGGGGGAGAAGTATGCTGGGCTGGGTGGGAGTCAGGCCAGGCCGACACACTCGATCAGGGGTCTCCAACCCCTGGGCCATGGGCCGGTACCGGTCTGTGGCCTGTTAGGAACCAGGCTGCACAACAGGAGGCAAGCAGTGGGTGACGGAGTGAAGCTTTATCCTGCTCTCCATCACGTCAGCCTTCCAGCCTGAGTGCCATGCCCCCTACCAGGTCCGGAGGCAAAACTGTCTTCCACGAATCTGGTCCCTGATGCCAAAAAGGTCGGGGAACGCTGCATTAGATGATGTTGAATGTGACTGAACGTCAGACATTGGACAACTACACAGAATTACTGTCCCGCCAAATGTTTTTGCCCCCACTTCTTATCTCTGACCAAACAATGCCCTATATTTCACGTCTCCATGTTTAACCATAAATTTACAGTGTAGGATCTGGTCAACAGTTCTTGGAAAGTCTAAAAAATCCTTTCTGGTTGGGTGCGCTACTTAAACTCTGAACATAGATCTTGTCTGTGAGACTGGCGGACGTCATGGGGAGCTGGGGGGTGCTCCAGGCTGTGTCTGCTTGAAAACCAGGTTTCTTTTCAACACCTCTAGCGCACCGGACATGCAGTTACAGAAGGTTTAGGGGGATGGGGATGGGGGAATGTGGTCTGCGGTGCCAAGAGGTGATATATTCTGACAGGAGATTGGGCCTCCTTTCCTTCGCTGTCCCCCTGATGTGGAGGCCTCAGTATGTTCCCACCAGCACCCTTATGGCAGCAGATGCAAAGCAGCACCTAGCAGGTAGGAAGTGCTCAATCCAATTTCAAAAATGGAGGTGGGGGGAAAGCTTTATTTGCAAAGAATAAACCATTAATTTACACAAACTTACATCCCGGTTTATATACATTATGTATAGCTTATATACACAGTATCTCACACTGGATGCATCCCCCAAAGCAGCACTGGGCCTGCTCCAGGCCACTCTCACCACAGAGCCCACCCCCCACCCCAGCTGGAAGCTTTTTAAATAAATGACACACTCCCTTTGGAGAGAGCCCTGATTTAAAAAAAAATCCGGCCCTTTTTTTGTGCTCATGCTGCCTAGGGGAGCATCCGGGCAGGAACGGGCCTGGGACAGTCTCAGAACTTTCTGGTGTTAGGCTGGTGCAGAATCTTCCAGTCCAGAGGCCAGAGCTGGGAGAGTGCCTTGGGGAAGAGCTCTGACGAAGGCTGAGCTGTCCCCACTGCCTGGCCAGGCTCTTGAAAGGGGGTGGGAGAAAAGGGGGTGCTGAGTGGGACAGGGACACTCTGGCCCTTCCCTCTGCTGAGCCTGCCAGTTGCGACTCCTTTGCCTTGGGCGGGTCGCCTTTTCTGTCTGGGCCTCAGTTTCCACAGGAGTAACGTGGGGGCAGAATGTAGGTTGGACCTAGCTTTAAATTTCTCCGAAGTGGATTGATATCTACCAGAAGTTCCGAAAAGCACATGTCCTCACATGTGGATTTAAGTCTTTTGCACCTCCAGGGTTCCTAGTCCTTTCTTGCTCAGCAGAAGAAATTTGGCTCAAGATGGATGAAGGAAGGGGCAAAGAAGGCCAAGGCAGTATTTCCCCAAGGAACCCATAACCGAGCAGCCCTGACCGCTGGCTTTGGTGCCAGCCTTGGCGGATGAAGCCCAAGCAGGCAAGGGCTCCTGCCATGTAATTCTCCTTCAAAGCTGTTGCCTGCCTGCACAAGCATCCTTGTCCCATTGTCCATGCTAGACTTTGCCTTCCTGTAAACCCCCATGGGCAGAATTCCAAATGGTCTATGTCCATATTCTCTTATTAAATTGCCTCACTACTTTGCCAATTAACTTCACTGCAACAGGGCTCCCCAGCTACCTATTGCTTCCCTCATCACGCCCCTCCCTCTAGGGCTCCTTATGAATCACAAGTTTGTGTGGAACCCTACCTCCCATATACTCCCCCGCCATATCCGGAGAATAGGAGAGGTGTCCGAATGCTGATTAGGATAATAGCTTTTTAGCTTTCAGACCAGCCCTCACGTTTCCCTCCATCCCTGAGAGATCCTGGCAGTACAGTTCTCTGTGGTGCAGTGGAAAGAGGTAGGGAGTCCCTCAGTAGCTGTGGGAAGTGGCCAGTTCCTGTAACCTATCTGTAGTGTCACCAAAGAAGCCCCCCTTGCTTGTATGTCATGCTTGGTTCATGGCTCGGTGAAAGGTACAAGGCTGATGGCTGCCGCCCACAGAAACAGCCTCCTCTTTTGCCAGAGCCTCTGGCAGCCAGAATAGGCATCGCCATCAGGGAATGAAAAGGGGACTCTGGCTTTCTCGTTTGAACCCACGAGGATTCAGGTTAGCATTTTTATCGGTTCTCTCAGGACCCCAAATTCAACACGAAGCTCTGGCTCAGTGGGATTATTTCAGAGTCAGCCCTGGCGGAATGAAACCCCAGCCCGGTGAGTTCAGCTGGGTGAGATTCTTATCGCAGTCCTTAACCTCTCTGGGTTTCATCTAAACACTAGGATTTGTGATTTGATCAAAGGAGATGGCAAGAAAGTACCTTCCCAGTTTTAAGGAGAAATTCTCATCTGTCCCTGCTACAACAGGACCGTGTAAGGCACTCTGTAGGAGCCGGGGCTGGGGACACGCCTCAGGTTTGCCTCCCCTGGGGGTTTGCAGGGCTGCTATTAAGCAACCAGGCAGCGCTGTCGCTTAGAAAGACAAGGCACAGCTGAGAAACAAGTACATGACGTTCTGGGTCAATTTCAGCTGCCCAAAGGAGCTCGCTCCCCATCTCCTCAAAAGGAAACCTATTGCAGGCACAGGAGTAGCAGAGCATCCAAGGCCCGCCCTCCCAGCTTGGGGCTGAACCCGGCACCCGGGCGCCAGGCTGGGCCCAGGCAGCTAGAAATAAGGCGCTAGCGTGGCCCCACCAAATGGCCTGGGGGGACATTCAGGTAAGCGGCAACTACAGGGCAGAGCCCTGCTCCAATGCCTAGATGCCAGCTTCTTCGGAGCCTGGATTCAGGGGGGCGGCCCCGAAATCCGTGCTGAGGCTGCTCTGCTGTGGCTTTCTGAAGCCAGAGCAACAAAGCCTGGGTTAGCAGGGCACTAGCTGCCGTCCTTGCAGATAGGGCCTGGGCTAATGACCACTTGGCTTGCAGCAAAGTTGAAAAAAAAAATAAAAAGCCCATCCTATCTGCCTTGCTGATGCCCAGGGGCAGGTTAGGAGTGGGGAGTTTTAATCAGCTATTAAAGCAGCTGCCTAAATACTGACATTTGAAGGGATTTCTGGAGATTGTGCAGTGCAACCCTTTGCTCCCAGACACAACCTCGACTAGATGAATATTTGTGTTGCTTAATAACTGGAAGATTTTCTTTGCGCCCTGGTACTCTAGAGAGTATCCCAGACCCTCTAGGACTAGGACATAAGCATAGGTCCCAGGTTAGGTGCCTGTCTCAGACAGAGGTAGGCCCTGTGGAGGAAGACACGGGCGGTCTAGCCAGGCTGGGAAGGAGTGGGTGTGGGGGCCACTGGGAAGGGACCCAGGGCGTTTTCTGGGCCTGAAGCACAGCTGTAAACAAAGTGAAAGACAGGTGGCCCCGAGTCTGGCTCCAGGTTCTTCTGCAGGCAACTTTGTGGCCATTCCCTGCACTCGCTCCAAGGAGGAGCACACCTCCTGTCCCCAAAGCCTGGCAAGCTGCTGTGACCTGGCTCTTGGCCTAAGCGGCAAGAGCCCTCTGAAGCCTCCGGCTGGCTGCAGCGCACCGCAGCAGGGACGCTTCCCCTGCCCGGGTCTCCGGCCTGGCGGCAGGTTTCCCCCTTGGTCTCTGCCACAAGCACCAGCCTTTCCCCTCCTTAGGCTCCAACAGTCCCCTCTGGCCCCGCCCCTACCCCAGAGAGGAGCAGCAGCCCCCTTGGGGTTGGAAGTTTACCCCCACAGTCCGGAGCACACCTCTGCTTTCTCTCGCCTGCTGTCCTGGACACTCACTTTAGTGCAACAAACGATAACTGACAATAAGGACCTTGAGGTTGAAGAGTCCATGCCGTGAGGCAGTCCACATGGAGGCAAGGAAGACAGTTCTGCTTCATGTAAACCCTGGGGCTCCATCAACTGTCCTGTTAGCTCAAGGTCGTTCTGGCAAGGCAAGCAGGCCCTGCCATGCCGGAGTCACTGGGGAATAAATAGCAGTGGGGCATTTCTCTCTGTAGCTGCGACGCCCATATGCCTCACTCCACAGCAGCACTTAGAGGTTCTGGGGTGGGGGAGGGGGGAGGTCCTGGCTCCCAAACCTGGGGCAGGGGCACAGGCAGGGGCAAAACAGGGGGGAATCTAGGACGCAGGGGCCTCTCCCAGCCTGATGGCCCCGAAGAAGGTGGTGTGCTTGCTCATGTTGATGGAGATGTCGGCGTGCACCATCTTCACGGCGATCTTCTGCCGGGCTTTCAGGAGGCAGACGCCCGCGGTGTAGCAGGTGTTGTAGTTGGTCTTGCCCGTCTCAATGCTGCGGGTGCACTGCAGAAAGGGCTTCTCGTCCACCACCACCTCGTAGCTGGCAAAATCAGTGAAGTTGATGTAGTACACCTGGGTGGGAGGCAACGAGAAGGGATTGGAGGAGAGAGGAAAGAGGGTTGGGCCCTCCCCTGTCATGAGTGGGCGGGGACCTTCTCAGATGAGCTGCCCCTACCCCTTGGGATAGGGCTGTGCCACTTGAAGGCATGCTAGGTAGCTGACAGGAAAGGCGGAGCGGCAGGCTCAGACTCTGTCCTTCCCCCACCCTACCGCGGGGCTCAGGTGGCCGGGCAAATCTTTCTTTCAGCAGCACACCAGCTGTAAACTCTGAGGGCAAGAAGCATGCCTTACTGGCCTCTCACCCCCTGCCGGGCACGAAGCCCCACGCTGTGTGTGTGCACACACGGGGTGAGTGGGGGGGCTCAGTCAGCGCTGCAGACACACATGAATACAAACTACCTTCCAGCTTCCAGCTCCAAGGACGATTTGAGGATAAAGTTAGAAGCCACTGAGCTCTCAAACGGGACACTGACAACTTGACCTTTCGCAGCCCAGAAGTGCCCGCCCACCCTCTCATCCTCACAGGTCCCTTAGCCCCCTCTTCTGATGACTGAGGAAACAGATGCAGAGAGGCGGAGAGCTCTCCGCCACAAATGAGATGAGAAATTTGGAAAGGCAAAAACCCAGGCCTCTAACTTTACTTTGTGGCTGGAAGACAGTGTGAACCTGTGTTCAAGGGCCTGGATTTTCCCAGTTTGCACGGTGTCCAAAAGCTGAGGCGACTCCCAATTCTCTCCTAGGTCCGGAAAGTTACTTCGTGTATCCTTCACTAGCAAGCTTTGATCCCCGTCCCCCGCCAACGCCAAATGGAGCTCAGGACAAATGCCCCATAAGGCATTGCGGTTACACCCAAGTGCCGCCTCGGGGTTGGGGCCCTCACCTGTCCCCCTAACTCACTTTATCAAACACTGCTCCCTCCACGGGTTTTTCCAGAGGGAGCAGTGTATTCAGGTACCACCCAGCATCTTGGTCAGCACCCAATCTGTGGCAGAGCGCTTGGTGAACCGAGCAAATGCTTGTTAACCCACCTTCTCTGGCCACTCCCCTGGAAGGCCCTTCTGCCCGCTCCACAGTCCCTCTGCCCACCTGCCTGCCCGCTGCCCACCCCACAGAAGCCCCAGCCTCGGGGCTCCTCTACCTCTAGCTCTGAGGAGCCACCTGGTGGAGGCAACCAGCAGGCGCATGGGAGCAGAGGGGCACCAGCAGACCCGGCAACTGGGCCCAGGAAGGACAAGGGCCAAAACAGGGGGAGAAAAGGGCTGGAATAATGACGGCAGGAAGGAGGCAAGAGTAACAGAGAAACAGGAAGGCAGAGAAACGAATGGGAGAATGCGGCAGGAAAGATAGTCAGAAGTTATTTTTGAGGCAGACAGAAAGTCCACAGGAGCGCTGTTCATTACAAAGCTGGCGGTGTGGGGGGAGGGGGTTCTCACCAGCCCTGGAAGGGCCTTTAAAAGAACGTAAGGCACTGAGACAGAGTTCACGTTTGGTAGCAGAACCAAACAGCTTGGGGGGCAGGGGTGGGGAGGGGCCTCTTTTCAGTCTTTCAAAGGTATCTGGCTGGGAAAAACCCCCCAACAGCCCCCTCTGTGTTTCCTCTTTTCAACTTCCCCCACCCCCACCCCGGGGTGGTACCCCCAGCCCCCTCACCCGCCAAAGCAGGAAGTTAGCCATTGGCTGGTCTTGGCTGGCTCCACAGTGCCCCTATGTGGCCTGCACCGGATCTGCATTCTGGATATAAGAAGAGTTAGGCCTAAGACCGTACTCACTTCTACCTGACTATAGATGAAGTACGTGCCGTCCACCAGTACCTCCAGCTCCCCGCTGCGGGGATGTAGCTTAAACACCTTGGGGTTCATAGTGATGCGAGACCAGTCATTGAGCACTCCACCTGAAAGATCTCAGCATGAGAGAAGGGCAGTCACTCAGTACATGTCAGAATAATATGGGCAACAGAAACAAGAAATCTCAAGCATACACAACCCCCGCCCCAACCCAATGCAACTTGGCAAGCCCAGGAGGCCGAGCTGTAAGAACAGCACTTGGAAGCACAAAGTTTTGTTTGTGAAGCAGCTGCCAGGCTGGCTTCAGGCCCCTGGGGTCTGTCTTCCTCTCTCCTTCGCTGCCCCCTCCCCCTTTCCCCATCTGGAATGGTCTTTAAGCAACATCTCCTGGCTGGAATTCGGGGTGGGCAGTAAGAAGAGAGTGGGCACACTGACCTATTTTCTTTGTTGTCCTGGGGCCTGCACAGGCAAAATTCAGACACTGAGTGGCAGGCTAGCTCTTATTATTCCCCTTTATTTCACCAGCCACAACTCCTAAATCCCTCTATTGTCTTATGGGTCCTTGGATATTCTCCTTGTCTGTAAGAGACTCCTCCACACCCAGTCCTTTCTGGAAAGCCTCCTTGGGCTCCCAGGAAAGCTCTTAGCTCAAGGAATCGTCTCCCTGGAGAACCTTACGGTTCAGAGTGCATCAGACCTCATGGCACCCAGAGAGGGTGACCATCAGTAATAAGGCCCCACAGCGATAATGACAGGGAGGGACGGACTGCCGGCAGTGTCAGAAACAGCCACAGGGAACACAAGGGTGCCTGGGAGCTGAGGTACCCCCAGGCGGCGCTGCTGCCTCTCAGCCCAGCCTGCTCAGGGTGGAGGGGCCATTACGCCGCCCTGGCTGGACACGGGGAACCAGCACGTGAGGGCGGAGGAAGAGTTTCCCTTTCCATCTGGTAGAAAGAGGGGGCTACCTTCCGTGCTGGAAACTGTCCATTCTCCACCCAAGAAAGGACGGTTTGAACATCCATCCTTGGCTAGGCTCAGGAGGCGTGAGGAAACCACCCTTCTGGAAAAGGTGGCCATCACCCCGTGACGAGATAAGTAGGTGGGATAGGAGTTAGGAGGAAATGTCCTGGTCCAGTCCCTTCAAGACTGCTCTGCACGCTGTACCCCCAACCCCATCCCCTCCCGGTGAAGTAAAGATCAGCATAGACTGCTACTGGGGACTGGCCTAGAGGGTTTGGGACTAGGCTTGTGATGTGGTAATTACTAGGAGCAAAATCAGTAGCTTCTGGCACAGAATAAACACTGAGGCCACCCATCCGGAAACCCAAACATGTCCATTTCCTGCCTGTCTCACTCTTCCCTGGACAGATGCTGGTCACGGCTCTCCAGCACAGCCCTGGGGCCCAAGGCACCTAGTCCCGGCAGGACTGCTTGGGCTCTGCTGCCATTCTGCTCGGATGTGTATTTCTGAGGCTATTTATTCAGGCACCCGGGTGGCAGTGCAGCGTGTCGCTGGGCCCAGTCCTTAGAGAGCTTGGCCCAGCCAGTTGAGGACTGGTTGGGCTCTTCCAAGCTGCCCCCATTGCAGCTGGTTTCTGAACCTTCCTTTCCTGTACCCGCACTTACAGCCCTTCCTTTCCCCTCCAAGCTCTGGAAGCATCTGGCATCTTGGCTGGCTTGCTGCTTCCCAAGGCTCCTGGGCGTTCATGCATTTCAGCTTCGTGCACTCTGGGGACTGGACATTATTTCAAAGTACTGCTCTTTAATGGATGTTTGCATCTCTTCGGGAAAGAAAATAATCCTACTCACTCGGGGGAGCACGCACACAGTGCAGTGGAAGGAGGCAGAGAGATGCATTTTTGAATCCCAGCTCCTGAACTCAACTGAAACCTTGGGCCAATTAAATAACCTCTCTGAGCTTTAGTTGCAGTCTCTGTAAGAAGGAGCTAATACCTACCTCACAGGGTTGTTGTGAGGATCAAATAAAATAAAAGGCAAAGAAAGCATGTTGAAAATTCTCAAGGACCATACAACTATAAGGCAGGAGGATTTATGATGGTATTGTCCAATCCCCCAGGGACTCTGTTTCCCCATCTTTTAAAAGCAGGGATTACATTAAATCAGTGTTTCTGAACCTCCTTAAACCCGTTCTCCCTTTCTGTAGACACTAGCGTTGCATATTTCTCGGACAGCCTACCACGCCCCCTGCCTCCCTGTGCAGAGCCGTCAGACCGGAATTTAAATGCATGTAGCTTTCCTATCTCTGATGTGCACTGTGGAAATGTTGATCCAACTCCATATATCCCCTCCGGGTGACTCTTCTCCCAACAATTCCCAGTCCACATGGTGTCTCAAGTCCCTTTCAGCTTACTGAGCGGTGTTTCTAATTGCCATTTGGGTGGTGTAGCAACCCGTCTTGGTACGAGCAATTACCCAAGACAGACAGCAGAGGGCAAAATGGAGTAGAGAATGGGCCCCTAGTGCCCAGGGTGCCTCAGTGGCCTGGGAGGAACTAGGCTGGGTGACGATTTGGAAGCTGGGGGTAAGGAAGACGGGGAAGCTCCCCTTAAGCGAGACAGCCTGCTTGGACTCTTACCATTCTTGACTTGAATTGCTGACCCTTGGCCCTGGAGATGCACCACGGCTGGCTGGGAGGATGAGAAAGACAGAGAAGACTCATGGTGAGAAATGACTGTTCTCTCAGCTACCAGTTTGCGTGTTTCCACCTCTGACTTCCTGTTTCCTTCCGGATTCCGATTTTGACCCTTCTGCCCTGTCTTGGGTATCTAGGGACCACTGTGAGACTGCAGGGTCATATGATTGTGCAGTTCGGCCACTTCCTAGTTCCGTGACCACAGCCCAGTGCAATGCCTCCGAGCCTCATTCCCCTAACTGTAAAATGGGAATTAGAAGACTCTCTGGCCTCCCTCACAGAGATGCCTGAAGATCAAATGAGGTGATGGATACAAAACTGCCTGGGAAGCCATGCAGCGCTGTGCAGCTGTGCAGATTTAAACTGTGGCCAAACAGCTGTAGCGAGGGAGGCTGAGATGAGACAAGGCAGGGCAGCAGAACCTGCCAATAGAGACAGATTAGGAAGCTCAAAGACTAGGGAGGGGCCCTTCAGACCGTTAAGGCAGAAAGAAGCCCAGGCTGGCCTTGGCCTGGAGCTGGTTGGCTGATTGTCAAGGACATACTCTTCAACTTCTAAGCTCCTGATCCCTGGCGGTCTGAGTGCCGACAAGGTGTCTGGGGCGGCTGGGGGACTGGGAGGCCCAGGTGAACAAGGCCTGTCTGGCGGCCCACTTTAGCTGCCTGCCGTGCGTAGATATAGGACCCTTTTTCTCCTGTGCTGTGGGGAGAAGTGGGCCCAGGGAAGACTCAGTTCCCTTAGCTCAAGGCAGGCCCTGGGCAAAGCTTTTCTATACATGGAGATGAGAGGGGACTGTGAGTGAAAAACCTCAGAATCTCCAGGGCAGCCCCACAAAATGAAGCCTCAGCTAATTTCACAGGGAGCGCACTGAGCGCTCTGGGCTGTGGCCGTCCCCCCTCCCCAGGAGGGGAGCAATTCCCAGCCAACCTGGTTTTCTCGAGTTCCAGCTTTATCAGCAGCACCTGCAAAACAGGACAGGGCGATCAGGGGCAAGCCTTTTCTCCTAGCCTTCCTCCTCCCCGAGGCGGCCCCAGGAGGGAGCCATGTGATGGGAGAGTGGGAGGGGACACCCCTTCCATCTCACTTGTCCCTGGCTTGTGACTCCACTGGGCCTGGCACCCAGCAGGGAGAGTGGCCTCTTGCCAATGCTGGCCCAAGGCAAGTCCCACTGAGCGCCCACAGACACAGATGAGAGAGCATCTCTGTCACTGTGTGACCCTGAGACAGCGCTGTTTGCTTCTTTCGACTTTTGCTTTGCTTCGATTGGCTTCCTTTGTAAAGTGCATTGCCATTTAGAAATATTTCGCTTCTTCAATCATCTCCCTCCTCCTCCAGGACATAAACTACATGAGAACAGGGACCACTTATCAATTTATCACTTACACATAGAAAGCGCTCAATTAATATTCCTGGAAAGATTGAATGCAAAAAACAAAATCTCCCAACTCCATTCCTGTGGCCACGGCAATACTGATCAGCCCCATTTGAACTATAAGTCCAAGAATCCGAGTCCTGCTGCAGAATCCTCGGACCCGGATGAGTCAGCGGCAGAGTCCGTTTGTTTAAGACCCTACAGTACAGGAGGGGAGCGGGAGATGGAAATAGCAACTGCCCCAACCTCAGGCAGTCCAAGTTCCGTTAAGTCCAATTAGGCAGCTTGGGATCTGCATCTCTACCTCCTGGATGCCCTTCTGGGCCCAAAGGGAAACAGGCAAAGGGATTAAATGCTATTCGAATGGGCAATGAGATGGGGTGGGGATGTAGTGCAAGGAGCACTGGGTTCTTCCCCAGGACGCCTGCGGTGCCTGGGTTTGCTCCTTCCACAGCTATCGGCGTCTACCTCTATGAGAAGGGCACATTATAGAGTTCATGGGACAAGACTGTTCTAGGGCTGGTACCTTGTCCAGTCCCCAGTGTTCCTCCCCGTTCAGCATCAGCACAGGAGTCAGATGCTGGAAATCAGAGTGGACTGAATCGATCTCCTGCAGGAACTCCAGCGAACCCTCAGGACCTCCGTCTCAGGCTCATAGGAGTTCACAGGCTCACTACATGGTGGCCGAGAGTACAGGGGGTGGGGCTTGTGGTAGATGAGCTGAGGCAGGTCAAGAACAGGTGACCCGTCCTTGACAGGTTGCTATAAACGAAGTTACAGCAAGTAGACGCTATTGGCTTGTTTCTAGTCTTACACTGAGCCAGGAGCCCTGCATTTCTTATTGGACACCATCGCCACCAGCCCCATTTACTATCGCTCTCGGGTTCACCCAGCCCCGCCCTATTACAGTGCTGGTAAAGGAGCCTCGTGGAGGGCGGAGAACCAGGAACTCACCGGAAGGTCCCTGGAGGCCAGGGGGTCCCTGAGGACCAGGAGGACCTGGAGGGCCGGGTGGTCCCATAACAGTTGTTCCTGGAATTCCAGGAATCCCTGGAATCCCTGGGGGTCCCTGGGGTCCTGGAGGTCCTGGGGGTCCTGGGGGACCATTTGGCCCAGGAGGCCCTGCCTTCTTTCCTGAAAGACAAGAATCGGTGTCACGTTTGCAGTTACTGCCTGAGAACATACTGTCAGAACCTCCAGTGCCAGAAAGTCAGCCCTCTGGGAATCCTTGTTGTTAAAGAGGTGAACACCTTCATCACCCCCACCGTCTGCTCTTTCAGGAACAATCATTTCCAGAGTTGGGGCTGAATAGAATAGAAATAAATGGCCCTCAGGATGCTCAGTATAGTGAGGAAAAACAGACACAGTGACCAGAAAGTAGAAGTGCCACATTTGCAGTGGGGAAAAAAGTGCCAAAGAGGTCAGGAAAGGTCAAAAAGGAGGGGACATTTCAGCGGAGTCCAAAGGATCTGAATTGCCAAACCCATAGGCCAGACCTATGGGTCATTTTGTAGAATACTGAGACTTGGGCTATTGTTGGAGAGGCGTTAATGTTTACTTCCCAGTTTGGTGGACTTGACGCAGATGAAAGAGGATGCGAGGGGGACAGTCTGCCCTTAGCAAGCTCAGCTCCAGAGAGGTTTCCAGGAGGAGTCTGAGGTACAGGGACTGGGGGCTTGGGGGAAGTGCTCGCTGGAAATGAGGACTGGGACAGAGTGTGGGAGGTGAGAGGTGCGTGTGTGTGTGTGTGTGTGTGTGTGACAGAGTGTGGGAGGTGAGAGGTGTGTGTGTGTGTGTGTGTGTGACAGTGTGGAAGGTGAGAGGTGTGTGTGTGTGTGTGTGTGTGACAGAGTGTGGGAGGTGAGAGGTGTGTGTGTGTGTGTGTGTGTGACAGTGTGGAAGGTGAGAGGTGTGTGTGTGTGTGTGTGTGTGACAGAGTGTGGGAGGTGAGAGGTGTGTGTGTGTGTGTGTGTGACAGTGTGGAAGGTGAGAGGTGTGTGTGTGTGTGTGTGTGTGTGACAGAGTGTGGGAGGTGAGAGGTGTGTGTGTGTGTGTGTGTGTGTGTGTGACAGAGTGTGGGAGGTGAGAGGTGGGTGGGTGGGGGGTGTGTGTGTGTGTGTGTGTGACAGAGTGTGGGACGTGAGAGGTGGGTGGGTGGGTGTGTGTGTGTTTTGGGGAGACAGAGCCTTGGCCAGGTAACTCGGTTGGAGTGTTGTCCCTTACACCAAAAGGTGGTGGGTTTGATTCCCGGTTGGACCGCATATGGGAAGCAACCAATTTGTTTCTCTCTCACATCGATGTTCCTCTTTCTCTCCCTCCCACTCCCATCCCCTCTCTCTAAAAATCAATAAAAACATCCATGGGTGAGGATTAACAAAAAGAGACAGAGAGAGTGGGAGAGAGGGAAGGACGGAGGGGGGGAGGGAGCGACAGAGAAACAAGGCAATAAGGGGATGTGGAGAGTAGAGAGAGCTGAGGAGGAGGCAGCAGATCTTGCTTCCTCAGCTGTTCTCTCTCAACCCTATCTTTAAAGGTCTCCAGGAAAGGACATTCCACACAGTCCCTTGGCAACATGGTCCAATGTTTATCACCCCTCACTGTTAGGAAGTTTTTCTGTATATTTAACTGAAATCCTTTCTGTGGCAGTTTAAGCTCTTATTCTATTCTTCATGTAGACAGAGAAGAATAGTTACCATCATACATATCATAACCCGCATATTCTCAAAGACATTGTCACCTACCAACCTCCATTTTTATAGGCTAAATAATCGACCTTGCCAGAGTCTTTCCTCAGAGGCCCTGGCGAACATACAATGTTATTGATAGTAATCAAGCCCACCGACTCCTCCCCTTTTCTTCCTCACTACCCTTTCACACCAGTCTCCATCCTCCTATTCCACGATCCAGTCCTTCTAACAGTCCTGCCAGGATGCAGTTATGCACAGAGAGTCCTAACTGTGGTCCGGAACCCGAACCTCCAGCTCCTCCTGTTTCATCCTCTGCTCTGTGCAGCTCAATTCACAGATCGCAGATGGGCGTCTCCTTCCTCCCTCCACCACTTTCTGACAATTTCATGCAAGTTTCAGGAATGGAAGTGTTTTATCAGACACCACCATGGTTTCTCCACCTGTGGTACTTTCTTAGTTTGAAACAGAACCCTCTCAAGTCTCACTTAACGCCTTACTGACTCCAATTCCCTGCTCCCCAGATCCCGAGGCAGGGGAATCCTGTCTTGATTTCTCTTGTCCTCCCTGTAAGAATAATGCTGCATGTCCAAGAAACCGAATTCCCAGTGCAACGCACTCAAGAGGCCAGGGGTCCCTGTCTAGTGACACCTGCATTTGGAATGAAACAATGGGATCACGTGGGACCCTTTGCCCAGAAAGGGCAGGAAGGAAGGTCCAGAGTGCTGCTCTCCTGGGAGAACCCCCCAGAGCCACAAAGACCTAGAGGTAGCAGCTTAAGCCTTTTCACTGCCCTTAGCTGCAAATGAGTGGATCTTCCCGGTTTCCCGATCTAGCCAATTTCAAGATGCTGAACAGGAAGAGCCATCTCCTTTCAGATTTGGGCAGCTTCCAAGGAAGGCTTATTGAGTGCCCAAGTTTCAATTCCAGCTAGTGTAGTGGAAAGAACGTGGAATCTGTAGTCGGGAGATAAGGCTGTAAGCCCCCAAATCTGACATGCGCACATCCTGGGCAAATCCCTTCCCCTCGCTGAGCCTTAGCTATTCCACCGGTGATGTCTCTCAGTTTCCTCCCAAGACTGAGGTTCCCTAAGGAGGAAGGCCTTACCCCTGCAGCTGTCAGGAAACGTGCCTGGCCTGGCTATAAGATCTGCTTCTCCCTCCTCATGGTTCTCTGGGCAGCATGGAGACAGAGGATGGTGCCTATGAGCCTGTGCTGAGTCCCCGAATTTCCTGGCCTGCCAGGGATTTTCAAGCTAGAGGGTGTTTCTGTGGGCAGTAGAAACTCCAGTGTCAAGACTGAGAGTCTCCTGTGATTGCTAATGCAATTTTGGAAGACATACAGCCAGAAACTCCTCCAGTCCAAGAGAATAGTGGTTGCAGCATAAACAGAAATGTTCACTTAGGAAATGTTAGAAGGCATTTGGGGAAAAGCTCTCACTGTGGTCTAGTTCTGCAGCTGGTCCCCTCTGCCCCTCGGCAACCACGTTTCGGGCAAGTGTGTTCCTCATACTCGCATACTTTCGGAAAGCCGGCCCGGGAGGAGCATGACCCCCTGAGCCAAGGAGATGACTTGAGAAGATTGAAATCTTTCTCCAGATTTCCCCACTTGAACAGAGCACTTCATGATACAAAAGCCCAGAGACTTTTGTCCCTCAAGAGTTACCCTTTGTAGCCTTAGATGAAAAAACATATACATGCTTTTTGAAGCTAACCTTCATGAAAGGGTATTTTGCTAACCTTTTCGCAAAGTCCAAATTGCTGAAAGAACAACTAAAAGCAACTGAGTGAAAGGGTATGTGGCGCGCATGCGCATGCATGAGAGCTAGAGGGAGGGGGAGAGGGGAGAAATTCCATTAAAGAATGGAAGTTAAATAAACAGCTCAATTTACCTCTTCAGGCATGTGCCTATTCACTGGGTCTAGGGGAATCTTTTGGTCAAAGAGAATGTTCAAGACCCATGTGCCTTCTCTTCCCAGGAATGGTCCATATACAAGGTAGCAGCGTAGGGCAATGATGGAGTCCCTGCCAGAGACACTGGAAGCTGAGTTGTAGTCCCAGAGCTTGTAGCCTAGCCAGCTGTCTTCTGCTGCCAACGGCAGGGCTCACCCACTGGTTACCACTGCCATTGGGTGCTGCTTCCCACCACCCACACCTCCAATCCCCTGGTAAACCACGAGCGTTCAAGCTGTTTCCCCCAAAAGTGCTGCATTCCTTCATGCTTCTGAGAGATTTCAGTATGCTATTTCCTTCGCTGGAATGTCCTTCCCTTCTTTCCCCCTCATCCTTCAAAGTCCAGGTCAAATACCCTTTTCTCTGAGATGTGGCCCCTCGCTTCCCCAAAGAAGACTACTTGCTCCTTCTTTGTGCTCTCACGGGAGGCTGTTCATGCTTCCATGGTAGGATTATTTTTTATATTGTACTGTACTTATTCGTATGTACTTCCACAATTCTAACTACACTGGGAGATTTGGAAGGGAAGGAACCATTTTCCTTCCTGATCTACCCATGTCAGAATTGACACAGGTTTTTTTTTCCTTTTCAGAAAGATTTTATTTATTTATTTTTAGAGAGAGGGGATGGGAGGGAGAAAAACATCAGTGTGTGGTTGCCTCTCATGACCCCCCCACTGGGGACCTGGCCTGCAATCCAGACATGTGCCCTGACTGGGAATTGAACTGGCAACCCTTTGGCTTGCAGACCGGCACTCAATCCACTGAGCCACACCAGCCAGGGCAGGAATCATTTTCTTCCTCTCTGTATCTCTATTCCCAACAAACATCTGACGCTTATTCATGACCTAGTGAACAAGCAAGTAGAATAAAGGAAAGTCACCCTGGGCTAGAGTTAGGAGCAGAGGGTGTCCTTGTTCAAGCCAGGTGAGCATTCTGGGCTTGTTTTAATTTCTGTCTTAAAGGAATGTCACAAGAGATAAAAAACTACATGTTTGAAAGTCAAATATACTTTCTTCAAAGACAGACTATCTTGGTGAATGCCCAGGTTCCATGGAGAAAGGTTTCCTCACTGACTCCAGCTCTCTGGTGTTTTCCTAGCTTTGCTCGCCTTGGGTACGCAGGAGACCAGGTATGTCATGTGACCCACGGCACCTCAAGCCACCAGAGAACCCTAGTGCTCAGAGAAATGGGAGGCGGCAGCTGAAGCCAGTCTTTTTGGCCTATTCTGGGGATGCTAATGTATTCCATAAAGCTCCAGAAATCTTAACAGATGGAATCATTTCACTTAAAACATTTTAATGAAACATCATTAATTTCATTCTATTTTTCTCCTGGGTAAGAACACAGAAACAAATAGGTACTGGGGTTGGCCAGAAAGTTTGTTTAGTTTTTGCTCTAGGATGGCTCTAGTAGCGCTTAGTTGTCTTTAATGTCATTCGAAACAGTTTTGTTAGATTGTATTGTGACAGCTGTCACATCAGCCTGCATTAAAAAAAAAAAACTCATCAAAATTGGTGAATTTTTGTGCAGCCACTTTAATATTGAAGATGGAAGAAGATATGTGACATTTTCAGCGTATTATGCTGTTATTTCAAGAAAGGTAAAAACTCAACTGAAATGCAAAAAAAAAAAAAAAAGGTCCTGCAGTGTATAGAGAAGGTGCTGTGACTGAATGAACGTGGCAAAAGTGGTTTGCGAAGTTTCTTGGTACTATTGGCATTTTGGACAAATAATTCTTTGCTGTGGGGTTGCCTGATGTATTTAGGCACACCCCTGGCCTCTACCCACTAGAAGCCAATAGTGGGAGACAGCCGATATACTCAAAATATCCAAATCAATAATGTTATTGGTGAAAATGAAAAATGTGCCTTTTATTTTACAGAAAAAAAAACTTAATGGACTTTTTGGTCAACCCAGTACTTAGAACTGGTTTCATAGTAGGTTCTTTCAGTTCTAAGGAGCGAACGAGGTTGCCTGGTCATATACTGTAGAACCCGTTCTGTCTGGGGTCTCCTCCAGGGAGCAAGCCCTCACACAACAAGCTCTTGGGCCAGTCCTGTGGCAAGTACACGAAAGACTTACTGGCCCACCAAGGGTACAATGAATCTGCTCAGCTAGAACTTCTATGAAAAGGCTAAAAAAGATCAGAGTATGACTGCAGCCTGGTTTTTCTATTATATAGAAAATGATATTGAAACCCTAAAGTGAGCAATGCCTTCCCTGAGTGTCTAGAAATATGATAGGGGAAACTTTTAGGCCAAGAAACAGGGTACTCCTGCCTGGTGTGGCTCAGTGAATTGAGCGCAGGCCTGCGAACCAAAGGGTTCCTGGTTCGATTCCCAGTCAGGGCACATGCCTGGGTTGCAGGTCAGGTCCCCGGTAGGGGGCGGACGAGAGTCAAACACACATTGATGTTCCTCTCCCTCTCTCCTCTCTCTAAAAAGAAATATATAAAATCTTTAAAAAAAAAGAGAGAGAGTACTGACATCTCTCAAGAGGTAGTATACCTAGTCCCTACAAGCTACCTCAGGACTTCATTCATATCTGATCACTGACTTCATAATGGAAGGCAAAAAAAAAAAAAAGAAAAAAGAAGGGTAGGGGAAAGAGCAGAAAGAATAACAGAAAGGGATGGAAATGGAATTGTACGGAAGAAGCAGCAAAAAAGAAAAACAAAAGCAACTTTCATATGTTGCCAGAGCAGCAGTTCTCTCTTTCATGGATCATCACTGCTCCCTTTGGAAGCTACAACACTCAAGAAGGTCCCATGTGATTGAATAAAATAATGGACAACTAGCATTGAAAGACTAGGACATAAAAACCCAACTCCTTGGATATGGTTTTCTTCTAATTTTAGAAAACAGGTGACATAACAGCAATTTAAAAAAAATCAAATCAGGAACATAACTTACCCTTTTTCTTGTTTTTAACTGGACCTGCCACAAAGAGAAAATGGAAAATTAAGTCACTGGAAATTAACAGGAAATGTTTACTCTTTAATACAGTCACAAGAGGGACCAAAGACACTGCTAATTTGAGGGAGCCCCATGCCAACGATCAGGTGATTGGCGAGGTGTCCTCCAACCCTCAAACTTCCCAAGTCTGTTTCTTTTTTTCTGCCTGTTGAGAACAAGAAGGTTACAAGGAAGACTACTTCATAGAGAGAAGAAGAACGTCCTTTGGGTTGCCTTTGCAGTGAGCGAATGGCTGCTTCTCCATAGAGCTGAGTTGTCCAGAAACGCAGAACTCAACAATCTTAGGACGGCATTCCAATAATCCTGCGAGTCCTGAGATTGAAGAGTCACGCATTCAGGTGAGGAATTGATCTGAAGTCTCATGGGTTGAATCTGGAAGGAAAAAAGGGTCATTTTCACGGAAGGAGCAGAGCGGCGGCACTTTACACTTTTTAGTCACTTCCTTATCCTGATTGAAATGGTTAGTAATTAAAACAGTGCGACCGTTGTACATTCATGTGGGGGCCACATGCAGTGTCACTGTAATTTACCGTAAGTTAACAGACACTTTAAGAGAAGTGTCAACAGTTTTATTGACTATGAAATCACCAGCATTTTCTTGGGACTTACTTCCAAAGAAAGCATTTCTAATCAGTTGGGGGCACTCAGAAAACTGAAGGCTTTTCTCGTATAGTTAGGTGATAACCACTACACAGACATACACAGCTTAGGTGTCTCCTAGACAGGCTTTTCCCTCCTGGGGACATAATTCTCTTCATTCTGTAGATGCATTTGATGTTCTTGTCTGTCTGTCTTCTAAATTTTATTTCCTTTAGAAACAGGTATCTAAAATTGATTCCAAACTCTCATGAGGACACTGTTGGACAACATTAAACCACGGAGCTTAAAAAATAACACCAAGCATTTATTTGTATGTTGATCTATAGTTCATAAATCCTACTTCCATCTATCACCTCATTTTGTAACATCAGGCCTGCAGTGATGTTCCCTCTCAGAGCAGGCTCTATGAGAGGTTGGATCTGAGCAGGTCAGATCGGAAGTCAGTAAATCGCCAGCCTGGAGGGTTGCCAAGTGGGCTTATAACCAATGTCTGTGTGGATTTCCCTGGCAAAGGAATTTCCTACGCAACAGTAGGTACTATTATGTGCAAGGGTATCTTCCGTTGAGTTTAGCAACCTGCTGCACTTAAGGCCGTATACATCTGTATTCTTTTACCCTCCCTCTTCTACTTTTCTCATCTTCCCGTTTTTATTTTTATTTTCTAAAATGACCGTGTCACGAAGAGTGCTGAGAGCGACAGGGGCTCAAAGCCAGTCCTTTCTCCCACTTCACCTCGAGTCACTGAAGCGCTCTCAGAGCGACTGCTCAGCGGCCATTTGGCACATCCCTTGGGAAAAACGAGGACGACAGAGTATGGATGAGATTGTTATTAGGTTGTATCTTATTTCCCACAAGTGCTAGTGAGTAAGTACATCATCAGCTCAGCAGTAGAGGAGTTCCTTTTTGTTCTAACATAGCTCACCATGGCCAGTAAATAGTTCTTATGAGTTCCAACATGAACCTCTAATCTCTGGCTCTACAACCACCATACCCACTTCTTTTGCATGAGGCCCTTGTAGCTTTCCAGCTTCTAGAGAGAAAATGCTGAGGAGTGAGGACTAGACGACGCTAGGTATGAGACACTGGAACCAGAGCCAAAGCAGTGACCTCTGCTGAATTCTATAACCTTTTAGATATATTCACTCATTTTCTCCATGTGATTCAGACCCTTTCTCATACCTACTGCGAGTGTTGCTACTATCACATATCTGTTTCTATGGTAACAGGCGACATTTCTCTATCATTCCAATTCCCTGTTCATAACCATCATGCTTTGTGTAGGTAAAACCCATAAATGCATCAGAGTGGGAAAGAGAGCTGCGCAGTCCCTGGTACTGCTCTGATAGTACAATTGAATTCTGACAGGTTTTGATCAACGTGGGCAGGCAATTTGCTACCTGGCACTTAGAAAAGGGAGTCTTTGTGCCCTGTGACTCCCTGGTTGGTGCGACTCAGTGGATTAAGTGCCAGCCTGCAAACCAAAGGGTCACTGGTTTGCTTCCCAGTCAGGGCACATGCCTGGGTTACAGGCCAGGTCCCTGGTAGGTCCCGTGAGAGGCAACCACACATGGATGTTTCTCTCCCTCTCTTTCTCCCTCCCATCCCCTCTCTTTCTAAAAATAAATGAATAAAATCTTAACAAAAAAAGAAAGAAAGAAAGAAAAGGGGGTCCTGTAACAGCATCAGGGCCATGGAGGCCAGATTCCAGTCCTGACTCAACCACAAACTGACCACAGGGCAGGCAATCCTTTTCTTCTGATTCTTCATCTTCTAAATTAGGGAACGCTTTGTGTACTTTGTCTCTATTCAAGGCCTAGGGTTCTGATGAAGATAAATGAGATAATAAAGAAAGCTAACATTTATTGACTACATATGAGCAATGCACCTTGCTAGTTGCTTTCCATATCTCAGGTAGGTCTCATAACAATCCAGCGACGTAGGTATTGTTAGGCTTATTTTACCAATGAAGAGATGGATTAAATAAGTTGCACTAGCTCCCACAGCCCAGAGGTGTTTTAAGGGAAGCTGAAACCTCAGAAAGATTCCTATAATTCTAGATGTGTTTTGAAAACTTGAAAAGAAATGTATACACTTTCAGTTTCTGGTTTGACATGTCAGGAATGTGGAAGTGGTCACTCCTACACTCACAACAAGAAAACATCCGAGCAAACTTAAAAATCACCTATTGTTACATTAATCAGAGGATTGAAGTTAGAAGGCAAACTGCTGTTCTGAAAATGGAGAGACAGAATCACAGCTTACCAAGTATAGAAGCCTGCAGGTAAAGCCAGTATCAGTAAGAACATTGGAAAGTGTAATGGAAAGATTGCTAGAGGCTCAGTATGGACTAGCTTAAGAGCTAAAAACTCCAAGGGGGTCCAGTCTAAGTCACACTTTCATGAGTTTTACCTTTAAGAGACTTACCAGTTTCTCTCTGGGAAGACTATAGAAAAATTCCCTTGTACTTCTGTCAAGGGAGACAAAAGTAGCCATCGCGGTCCCTGCCTGGTGTGGCTCAGTGGGTTGAGCACTGGCCTGCGAACCAAAAGGTTGCCTGTTTGATTCCCAGTCATGGCACATGCCTGGGTTTTGGGCCAGGACCCTGGTTGGGGACATGTGAGAGGCAACCAATTGATGTTTCTCTCACACATAGATGTTTCTCTTCATCTCTTTCTCCCTCCCTCCCCCTTTCTCTAAATGATGCAATGTGAGGAGTTAGGAAAAAAACAAAACAAAACAAAAGTAGCCATTGTGAAATATACCCAGACCTCCTCTTTATTCCTTAACAAGGTTTTCCCTCAAGGAAAACTACCTCATTACAGCCTGACTGGGTTTCTACCCGAGTCTACTCAGGCAAAGGAAAAGACAATGAGACCTAACTATAGGACTACAGAACCTTAACAGACCTCCTGTGTAATAACAGGGGATCACAGCCACGAAAACTGCAAGTCTCAGACCGCTACTTAGGAGTTCCCAGGGACACTCAAAGACAATAAGAGGAGACTAAAACCAGAGCAACAGATAACATTTTAGCCTCTGACGCCACATCTACAGCAAATAGTAAACACAGCCAAACTCCTAGTCAGATGAACATAAAACTTTCAGGCCTACCCATCTCAGTTGAGTTTACCCAGCATAGCGCGTCCAATTTTCAGGCCCAAATGATAAGGCATACTAAAGAGCTAAAAAGAAACAGTCCGAAGAGACAAACCAAGCATTAGAACCAGACTCCGATATGGCAGATCATTTTGGAATGATCAGACCTGGAATTTAAAACTGTCATTAACATGCTAAGGGGGCGAAGGGAAAAATTGGATAATATGCACGAACAGATGGGTAATGCAAGCAGAGAGATAAAAAAAGCCTAAGAGAATCAAAAGGAAATGCTAACCCACATAAATATACTCAACTGATCTTTGACAAGGAGCAAAGAATACAATGGGACAAAGAGAGTCTTTTCAACAAATGGTGCTGGAACAACTGGACATCCACAAGTAAAACAATGAGTCTAGACACAGACGCCAGTTATGACAGGAACTGTCATTGTGGGTACAAACAAAAACAAAAACAAAAACAAAAACAGGAACCAACTCTTTGTTGTCAATACGAGACACAGTTAAATATAGAGACACAAGAGGATGAAAGTAAAGGGGTGGATAAAGACACACTATGCTGATACTAATCAAAAGATGACTTCAGAGCAAGAAAAATGATTTGGGATAAAGAGGGTCATTACATAATGATAGAGCGTTCAATTTTCCAAGAATACATAACAATCCTTGATGTGTATGTGCCTGACAACAGAATGTCAACATTGTGAGGCAAAAACTGAAGAATCCACTATTACAATTAGAGACTTCAGTATCCCTTGATCAGTAATGGAAATACCCATCCAGTAAGGATATAGTTGAACTGAATAGCACGATCAATCAACTAGAGTTAATGGGCATTTACAGAATACTTCATCCAACAACACGAAGATACACAGTCTCCTCAAGTTCACATGGGCCATTCACTAAGATAAATATTCTGTGTCATAAAGCACACCTTAAGAAACTTAAAAGCACAGATATGCTGACCTGGCTGTTGTGGCTCAGTGGACTGAGTGCTGGTTTGTGAACCAATAAGGTCACTGGATCCGTTCCCAGTCAGGGCACATGCCTGGGTTGTGGGCCAGGTCCCTGGTTGAGGGTGAATGAGAGACATCCAATCAAAAGCACAGATATCCTAAATTTATACACTCACATCACAATGGAGTTAAAATAGAAATCAATAACAGAAATATAGCTACCAAATCAGAGGAGAAAGAACTAAATGATTTTTGGAAAATATCTAATCTAAGCGTCCACTTTAAGAAATGA